ATTAATAAATAAAATTAATAATAACATTTTAATAATTTCAATGCCTAAACTACATAAAAAAATATAATTTACACTAAAAAATTACATTTATAAAACTTAAAACGAGCAAATCCATTTACTTTTTCACCTATAGAGAGGCATAAAATATTTTTCTGGTATATCTAATTACTCCCTCTGGTGCCATTTTAATTAGTTTGATGATTTTATGTGGCAAAAGAAACTTTTTTGGTTAGCGTAGGAGACTCATGGCATTTGCAGACTTTATGAACATGGTGTTTGGCTAAAATGAATTTCACGTTGAACTGATTTCTAAATCTATATTATTGTATTTTAGTTTGATTTAAAAATTTTCATTTTAATTTCATGGTTTCAATTCCATACCCTGATGTTTTATTTGATTAAAAATTTGTGAAATTAATTTGTAATTCTACACTTCTTATATTTGGTTTAATTGAAAATTAAGAATTGAATTTCAAACTTTTAAATCATAGAATTAATTTAATTCAAATTCCATTCATTTTAACAGTAATTGAAACGAATTTTTTACTATTAAGAGTCTATCACTTTCCTTCATGTGAAATAACGAGAGTATTTTAGAAAAAAAAAAATTAATATTTAATTCAATTTAATATTTACCATGGGCATGGAATACACAATAATGATCATGTTCTATATATAAGAAAGAACTGGTGAGAAGAGACAGGTGCTGATGTTTTATAATTCATCAATTAACTATATGTTTGCATCTCTTCACACCTATATATATCAGATGCTTAGAAGATTCATATTAAAAGATTCACCTAATGGTTATTGGGCCTTGTACAAATTCACTTCTCTAGCATGTAGTGGTTAATGGTTATTGGGCCTCCTACACACTTTCCTACTTGACTTGAGACTTGAGAGAGGTTGCTGTAATGGTTGTGGATTAGATGGTGATTAGTTTACAAGTTCAAAACTAGATTTGACATTGGTAAAAGGGGAAATCATGATGCGGTGAGATTAAAATTTTGAATATGTTTAATAATAATTATATAATAAATTTAATAGAATTAAGGGTTGTATTATAGTTTATGTGTTTAATAATTATAATTAGATGTCTTGATTTTTTTTTTCTTTTTGACATTTCTTGATTCTAAGATATCTCTTTTACATTTTTCGAGAGACGAAGTTATGGTTTCGCTAGCATTTGAAGGGGAGATTTAGGGGTATTGTCTCCCCTCCTTCTATTTCACCAATCTAAATATATTATAAAAAGTGTTTATAAGATAAATTATATATAAAAAATTATAGTTTATTTTATAAATTTATTAAAATTATTTTAATAAAATTATTTTTTATATTATTTGATTAAGGGTTTTCTAATAAATTTATAAAATAAAATGTATTTTTAATAAACAACGTAAAAAAAAACTTGAATTCCACTCCCTAAATTAAAGTAACTATTTATAAAAAAAAATTAAAATGATTATATCTTAACATTAAAAATGTTAATGTCTAATTAAAATTATTAAATATATAAAATATAATATAAATTTTAATTTTATCAAATTTATCAACTAATATTAAATGTCAAAATTTTAAAAATTAAATTAAATTAAATCTAATACATATATATTTAATAATTAATTTAATGATTATAATCCAACCTACCAGCATTTTTAATAACAAGACTACTTTATTTCCTTTCTCTCTTCCTTAATAATACTGCATTTTCACCATTCAAGCGAGGGCAAAAAAAAAAAAAGACCTAAGCCCTACAGGGTTCCTCCTGTTAACTCTTGGCTCGGCTCGGCTCGGCTCTAGTCATCCTCACACAGCGCCGGGTGCCGCTAATACCATCAATCACGTCCATTGCCACATATCCAGCGACGCTGGCCGTGGTCCATCTCTCGATATTGCAACGCCACCCATCCCCATCGGCCATCGATCTAGCAAATAACAGAGTAACTCAATACAATCCCGATATTGCAACTTGATTTCCAGTATTCGATTTCCCTTAATTTAACTTTAATTTCAATTTTTTTTGGTACATGATTTATCTCAATTTTCCTGCACATATTCCCTCAAGAAGTGCATCTTTCTTTTTTATTTCGTTGAATAGGCCTCAAGAACTACTTTTCACTTTCCTGTAAGTGTTACACAGATTGAATTGCAACATATACCCAAAAATTGCATTATCGGGATTATCAAGTTACACAACCTTATGATCTTTCTTGATCTAATATCAGAATTTTAAATTTTCTGTTGGTAAATTGTAAATTATAAATTTATTACACAAACTGAAGTACAAAGTTTTTTCCTTTTAATATCTTAAATGAAATATAAGTATTTTAGGCCCAGGTTTGATTTAGGTGTTTACAAGTTTCGATTTTTTTTTTTTTAATTAAGATAGTTATTTGTGTTTTATGGATGTTAAGACACTGATTAGTCTGGAGGCCTTGTGCCTGCACACTCCTAATAAGTTAGGAGTCTCTTCAACGATATGAAGTCCACAGCTTAAATGATAAAAGCCTGAGGCCAAAATCAGCATAGTAGTTTCTGCTAGCTAATTGCACAGCAATTGCATCTATCCTGATGGGAAGAATATCCACTAGAATTGATTGAGTTGCCTCTGGTAACCATTTCCTGTTAATTGATGCTTAAAAAAAATAAGAGTGATTCTATAGAAAAGAGGGTTGCCAAAAGTAATTTATATTTACCTCTGTAATTGTGTTCTTCAACCTTAAAGATGTCATGTGCAAATAAGGAGGTAGTCTTAAAATTTTACCATTCTCCGTAAATCAACGAGTTAAGCAATGCTGGGCCCGAATCTAAATAAGAAGGAAGCGCTCTGGAATTTGAAGTTTCTTTATCAACCTGCTTTGTGTACTGAACTTCTGATGAAGTTATCAATTCTTGTCTTCTTCTCAGGTGCAAAATTACGATTTTGAGGAGTTTTTTGCCCCTGAGCTGGACAAAAATGGATATCAAGCTTTATATAAAAGTAAAACAAATGAGGTTATTTAATATCTAAATTCCTCTTCTACTGGCTTATTTTATTCCTTGTGTGAATATATATCTTTCTATCAGTTGACATTGTTTTCACTGCAGGTTTATAGTGGAAATCCCCTTACAATTGATGGCTGTGAAACATTTTTCCATACGGATAAAAGTTTTAAAGTCTGAACTTTTGTGGGATATTGACTTTGTAAATCCCTTGTTTCTTATCATGCCAAAGTAACGCATGGCTGTCTGCAGGAAGAATTTAATAAGGCTGCTCAATCCTTGACTGATTTTGCAAGTCCAAGTACCCAGAAGAAAGCTACTTTGAATCGGTTGGTGAAGGTAATAACTTTCTATTTTTTTTCTTGTCTATATGCAATCTGTTGAGGTTTTTATGCTTTCTTAATTATGACCGAAATGGAATGGACTATCTTCTTAGCAGGATATTGTTGCATTGATTGTCGTTCTTGAAGCAAAATTTACTAACCAGAGAGTTGATAATCCTGGCAAGAGGCAGCTTCTTTGCGTGGTATGACTTTTCATCATAATCATCACCATATGATTATAACATGCATACTGTTTACTGCAAGGCCTTGGTTTCTAGCGCTTTTATCATTTGGCAGTGTATGACCTGGTGTACCATAGGTGATTTCAGTTACATGTGATTGGATAGATGTAACAGGGGGTTAGACTGTTCATGGGCTAATTATAGATCAGGCTTGTACCCTAAACATTGCATCAAGTGTGCTGGTCCTGTACTGGATTTAACTAAAAACTTCATCTTATTCCAGAGGGTGTTGGATATATCTGTAAATTCATAAAGATTGCAGTATCATGTGATTGGATAGATGTAATAAGGGATTAGAGTGGTCATAAGCTAATTATAGATCAGGCTTGCACCCTAAACATTGCATCAATTGCGCTGGGTGGGCCTGTACTGGATTTAACTGAAAACTTTGTGATATTCTTGGAGGGGGTTGGATACATCTGTAAATTCATAAATATTGACTCATTTACGCAGCTGATGTTACTTTTTTTTTTGGTAATTTGTTGCTCTTCCACAGTTTCTTTCTTTCCATCTTTTGATTCCTTTACTTGTATTTGGTTTTGGAATACAGGCAAATACACATGTCAATGTTCAACAATATCTAAAAGATGTCAAGATCTGGCAGGTTCTAATTTCTATTTCAATGGTGTCTATGTTTATTATTGTTATTAAAAGTAGTAAATAATTTAGTGTTTCTTAATTTTGCATTAGGTGCACACTCTCTTGAAAGGATTGGAAAAAATAGCTGCCAGTGCAGACATTCCAATGTTGGTATGTGGGGATTTCAATTCTGTTCCTGGAAGGTATGTACATAATGTTACACTTTATGGATATTCAAGTCCACTTCACTTTGTATTAGCCTTCTGTATTATTAAAGTTATTGTTCGGTTACTTATGTACAGTGCTCCACATGCACTTCTTGCCATGGGAAAGACAGACCCAATGCATCCAGATTTAGCGTTAGATCCTCTCGGGATTTTACGTCCTCATAGCAAGTTGTCACATTAGCTGCCACTGATAATGTTGCTTACCTTATTAGATGTTTCTCCAAAGTTTTTCAGTTAACAGCTGCTACTTCTTTTTAAAGGGATTCTGCCTCTTGACAAAGTAATTTTCAACAGGTTAGTGCCTACTCATCCCTTGCAAGGGTGGGTGTAGGTCTCGAATTGGAACAGCAAAAGAGGAGAATGGATCCCTCAACAAATGAACCCTTATTCACAAATTGCACTAGAGATTTTATTAGAACTCTAGATTACATATTTTACACAGGTAAACTTCTTTGCATTTGGGTCTTAACAAACTATGTACATCCAGCCTATGGTTGTTGTTCCCTTTCTGTTATTCATACTTATATAGAGAATTGTTTATGCTTTCAGCTGATTCTCTGGCGGTGGAGTCCTTATTGGAACTGTTGGATGAGGATAGCTTGAGGAAAGACACTGCTCTTCCTTCTCCAGAGTGGTCCTCAGATCATATAGCTCTTTTAGCCGAATTTCGCTGCATGCCTAGGCTTAGACGCTGACACTCCAGGTGTGCTTTTGACTGAGTCAATTATCAAAAGCTGTAGGATAAGAATCTCTGTATGTGTTTGAGATGGAACATCATGGCTATTTCTCAAGTTGACTGTCTATTACTTGTGGTTGTCAAATGCCTGCAGGTTTAAGTTTCACGTCATCATCTTCAGTAAAAGATAATTGTTCTGGTCTGTCTAGTCATTAACGTATCTGGTTACTGGTTTCAGGTCCGGAGATGCCCTAGAAATGGGGAAAGGAGAAGCTGATCATACAGATACATTATTGCCAAAAGGGTAGATGATCCACCCTGTGTTCTTACTCGAAGGATTGATGATAGGATCCTTGCAATGATCTGCTT